CTGCGGTAAGGGGAGCCTCTGCCCGCGAAGCTCAGGGAGGCCTGGGCCCGCCTCCACCCTCCTCAGCAGCTGAAAGGCAAGGAGCCCAGATTCTCTCGCAGGAAGCTCCCACTTCAAAGGTGAAGCTAGTCGGGTCTGAGAACATGGGGCAAGATGTGGATCAGGTGGATGTAGAGTCGGACACAGACTGGAGTTAGGCTCGGGAGTACACGTGGGGGTTGGGCACGGCATGGGGGTGTCACGTGGTTTGTCAAACATGTGAAAACAGCCTCACCGGGACTGGGGAAACTGGCTGAGTTGGGCCAGCATAGAAACTATGGTTTTGGAAAACGATTCTGTGGTGAGACGAAGAATTTTCTGGAAGCCGGGAAATTTGGCAACCCAGCCTTTGCGATTCTTCCTGTATTTATTTCATTGAAAGTTATTTTATATTTGTCTCACTATAAAAATAGTACATGTCAACATATAATGTTTATCTAGACCCTAACATGGGCTATTAAAAAGATTATTCATTGACTCCTCACACAAATAGGATCAATTGCAATCTCTACTTTGTAGACAGAAGACGAAAGCTCAGAGTAAAGGGGCTTGTTCATGGTGTGTCTCTGGTGAGGGGCAGAGCCTCCACTCACACTCAGGTCTCCTACCTGCAAAGCCTGTTCTCTTTACCTGTCTTCCCCAGCTCAGGCTCCTTCTACACCGTAGGTAGAAGTGAAAAGGAAACACATGAGAGAAATAAACTTCTCATAATGCAACAACTCTAAGAAAGAAATAGTAACATCTCAGCATATATCTTTACAGTCTTTTCCAGATGCATGACTTTTCCACATATTTATAGTTCTACTCCCTCTGAGTATATAAAATATTATATCCCTGCCTTTAACTTAGCACAAGCATTTCCCTGAATTTAAAAAACCCCAATTAGCTATGAACCACATTTCCCTAAAATAGTATGAACTGATACCATTTACCATGTTCTGTCCCTCATCACTGAACGCTTCGGCCGGCTGTCTCCAGGTCTCCACCAGTGCAAATGTTCTGTTGTAAACAATTTATCTGCAGAACCAGCCTGCTGTTACTTAGGATAGGGTCCCAGCAGTTAAGACGACCACTCAAAACGTATAAAGATTTGAAAAAGTTTTCATTCTTGAGATATATTACATGTTTGCCTTTTCCAACATGCAGAGAGACACATCCCACTGAGCAGCATGTAGAGGGCTTGATTCAATACACACCTGACAAAATGGGATTCATCTGATTTTATTAGTTTTCTATAACCTCATCTTTTTCTTTCTCCTTCATGCATTTGCAAAATAGAGAAAAGGGTGCACCATTCTAGCAGGTCTTGCTTTTGCTTTTTAAAATTAATGTTGGAGGGACTATTTTCACAGTTTGAAACCTCAGACTTATCTCCATGGCTGACTAGACATGGGCGATAAAGAAAGGAAAGAAATAAAGACTGTATGGCCCTGGCCGGCACAGCTCAGTGGTTAGAATGTTGACCTGGGGATCGGAGGGTTTGAGTTAGACTCCTGTTCCAGGGCATGTACCTGGGTTGCAGATTCATTACCCTGCCTGGTTTGGACACATGTGAGAGGCAACCAATCGATGTGTCTCTCTCCCACTGATGTTTCTCTCTCTCTCTCTCTCTCTCTCTCACCATTCCAGGTCCTCCTTCCCATTAACTTCAGCTTCGCTTTGCCTCCCTAGTTTTCCAAAGAAGCAGGCTAAAGGCAAATGCACTTGACACTTATATTTTATACAGATAGAACTTGCCATTTATGTCACAGTTCAGAAGGTACCCCAGGTCCTTCCAGTGCTTCTCACTGTAATGTCAATTTGTGAAAGCGACTATAAATAAAGGCTGCTAGTTGATGGCATTTTGAAATGATAGCTTATGCTGAATTCCTGATCTCAAGCTATCACAGCAGAACCATAGAACTTGAACTCAAGTTTGATCAAGAACGAGGACTCTGAGACTATTTAGCCTTTACAGCTATTGTGTAATCTTATGGTTAATATAATCACAACCCGTTAAAAGTTCTGGCTTCCTGGCCAGAACTTGCATTCACCTTCTAGTCCAATTGTGCAGTATCGAGCTTTCTCAGTTGGCACTTCTCTGCTTTCAAGGGAGCATTTAACTCAGACCTCTGCAAACATGGAGCTCTGTTCTGTTGGCTGTAGAGTACGTAGGCCAAGTGGAATTTCTGGCACTTCATTACATTCCCTGACCTTCACTAAACAAACTTCAAAATATATATATTTGCAACAATTTGAAATAAACACTACATACAAGTGTTGATGGTAGATTTTTCTGAAGAACTACCAAATGCATCAAGACTAAGGAAAACATTCTAATGATTCTTTCAAACATGAATATATTTAAATTCTCGTTAAACAATCTTCTTATTTAGTCTTCTCAGGCTTTGATGACATGCCACGATTTGCTGTTTATCAAAAACTTAGCAAGAAATGCTTAACAAGATATAATCATGTGCACACACTTGTGCATAATTAAACCCAGTTTAAAAATCAGTGCGCAGTGGAATATGGTCACACCACTCAAGAAAGGTGGGTGACTGGCAAATGACACTTGTCTATCTATAATGAAAAATCTTATAATGTGAATGCTGTGAAGGTGATATAGTAATCCGTTCTTAAATCTTCGTTAAATACATCTATTTCCAACTCTACCGAGCTGAATGAAAGTTCTAGCAAAGTCAGGAAGTTAATTTAGGTATAAAAACACAATCAGGCATTAGTTGTTCACACTGGAATGGTGTGGCATGGAGGTGAAGATTCTCATCCTTCCAAGGTTTTTAATTGGATGGATTCTCATCTGTGTGTTTTATTTTTTTTTAAAGAAGAATTTAGCTGACTCTCATTTTCTTCATTTTATAGCTGTTCTTTCAGTTGGAATGGAAGAGGATTAATTGAGACTGAGTAATTGATATTTCTCAAGATATACAAGACTAGGTATTGCATCGCATTAAAGACTACACTTTCCCATTTGTTTTATGACTTTGTCCAGTTAACGTTACTGAGATAAGCACTCTGGTATTTACTTGTAACTTGAAACCCTTTTCACAGTGTGACTGGATCCTACGGGAAAAGAATTAACATTTGAGGAATGCTTACCCTGTGCCAGGCATTTTATATGCATTATCTCATTTAATTCTCATAACCACAGGATATGGCTAACATAATTTAATCCAATTTTATGTGCCTGGGATTATAAAGGGAGTTAAGTATAGAACAAGGATTTGACACTAGATCTACCTATTTCTTTAAAGCCCAAGATCCTTTCACTAAATCACACTGGGTTTCCCACTGTAGCCAGGATGTGGAGGTGACAGGAAAGGCCATTCTAACAACGAGGGGTCCTCTGAACTGTGACACGGGTGCCCCTCTGGGAGTAAAATAAGTAAGAGGATAATATGACTAATTAGATTAAGACATGTACCTAAAGTAGTGACTAGTTAAGTAAATTATGAGCTATGCATACCATTGAATGCTATATCATCATTAGAAAGAATCAGATGAGTCTGTTTAATGAAATGTGAAGCTGTCTATGAGTTGCAAAGTAGTTGCAGGAGAATATGTGCTGTATGATATACTTTGACACAATCAACAACCATACACACATTTTTGCATGTGCTTAGAAACAGGTCTGGAAGGACATATACAAAAGTGTTAGTTACTTCTACTCAGCAGTCTAAGAATGACTAGTAGGCAAATTTCACTTTTTAATAAAATATTCACCACTGTTTAATTTTTTTGTGTGCAATCACATGTATTACATTTACAATTAAAATTCATGTAATGAACTCATTGAATAATCTGCAGAAATGACCAGACCCAAGGAATGGCGATTAAGGTGATGAAGGAGATTTAACCTCACAGAAGTAAACTCTAACAAGCTTTAACATGACCATCTGCATATGGTCAAAGCTAAAACCTTATCACTTGTATTGAGCTCTGCCTTATCTGAGGAAGGCGTTAACAGAGGACAAATGAGTAACAGTCATTTCAAATTTAACATGTCCAAAAGGGCCCTCTACTTACCCATCTGTGTAGCACTACCATTTTTCCATTCGCTCAAGCCCAAGCCCTAAGAGACACACTTGATTTCTCCTTGCCCTTACTCACTGCATCCCAACCAGGCAAATCCAACCTGACCCAACTCTAGAATATCTCTCCAAGGGCTCCACTCAAGCCACCATTATCTTTTGCCTGGACTACTAGGGTTGCCTCCTAATAGGTGCCCCTGCTTTCCCTTTTACAATCCATTCTCCACATGGCCAGTGTGACCTTTTATATTCCCCCAGTTGTGGTTCTTCATTGTATTTACAATGGATTACAAATGTCTTACTGTGATCTGACACCCATTTAACATTTGTGACCCCAACTCCCACCACCATCCCCCTCGTTCAATAGGCTCTAGCCATCCTGGCTTTTCAAATACAATAAGCTCTTTGGGTTCTCTGGGTTTTTACACTTGTTTTTTGTGTTTTGTTTTTTTTTTTTTTCTGCTTGGAATACTCTTCTCTTACAGGACAGCACCTTGATAATTTGAATCAACATTTTGCCAATGAGGAAATAAAATTTCAGAGAATTTAAGTAACTCATTTATGGTCCTAGCACTTGGTACAAGGCAGGGCTAGGTTTTGAACTCATGTCTGAAACATCTCATACCTTTCCCATTGTACTACACAACAAAGTAAAGATGACCCATCTCACAGCTCTGAGTATAGTTCTGACTAATCAACAAGTATCTGTTCACTGAAAAGGCCAGGATAAAATCAATTCAGTCAGAAGTTCTTTTTGTAGCTTCTCCTTCCTACCATTATTACATTCTCCAACTTCTGCAGGAAGACTTAGATGATTGAGAGGGGAAAATATTAGATATATTTAGAAACTCTTATCTTACAGATCTGAAATTAAATATTGTTCATTTAAGAAAGGAGTATATGACACAACCAGAAACCTTTACAACTTACTTAGTCAGATGTCCAAAGAGGACTTTCATGGTGTCACGATTTGATGGAGGGAGTTTTTGTACAAGGGACTTCATAGTTTCAATTCTTGTGTTGTTATCTTGTTTTTCTGAAAAATAAAATAAAAACAAAGTTTAGAAAAAATAAGATTTCATAGATACATGAGGGAATTTTTTAAGGAGAATTTTGGACTAAGAATTAGCAGCATAAAGTCCTACTCAGCAGCCAAAGGTTATAGGTGTGCTCAACATTATCATGGAGTTTCTTCATTTTGACTCTGAATTAGATCATGGCTGTGTGACGGAGATTGGCCATAGAGACATAAGTCAAAGTATTATGTGGGACTCCTGGGAAGGACATGCATAAGGTGCTCATTTAGCTATTGAATCAAATCTCACAAGTGTTTTTACTATTATACAAGGTGTGGTAGGATGAATAATGAACTTCCAAAAGATGCCCATGTCCTGATTTCTGGAACCTGTAAGTCAGCGGTTCTCAACCTGTGGGTCGCGACCCCGTTGGGGGTCAAACGACCCTTTCACAGGGGTCGCCTAAGACCACCGGAAAACACATATATAATTACGTATTGTTTTTGTGATGAATCACTATGCTTTAATTATGTTCAATTTGTAACAATGAAATTGGGGGTCACTACAACATGAGGAACTGTATTAAAGGGTCACGGCTTTAAGAAGGTTGAGAACCACTGCTGCAAGTATTTTACCCTCCATAGCAAAAGGGATGTGTCATGTGATTAAATTAGGGGTTATGAGATGGGGAGATTTTGCTGGATTATAAGGGTGGGCCCAGTGTAATCATGAAGGTGGTTAAGAAGGAACCAAGAGGATCAGAGTCAGAGACAGAAGTCATGTGACAGAGGAAGCAGGAAAAGAAATGGCTGTGTGATAAAGGGCCATGGGCCAAGGAACAAAACAGCCTCTAAAACCTAGAAAAAGAAAAGAAATAGACCTCCAGAAGGAAGTCAGTGAACTGATTTCCATTTTCTGACCTCCAGGAATGTAAGGTAATAAATTTGTATTGTATGAGCTTGTGGCAGTTTGTTACAGCAGCAACAGGAAACAAACACACAAGGACACAGTGTGATTTAATTACCAATATTCTACTGTTTGCTTGATTTTGTGGAAGAGTAAATAATTTTTTATTACTTCTATGCTATCCTGTTTCTGTAATACATTTTGGTTTTTGCTATGAATTAGGAAAGTGCAAAAACAAAAATTGAAAGTATAAAATATAGTCATATACATTTAAAAAATAAGTTCTTCAAAAATGCAGACCACATGAATTTCTTTCCTTTATTTTGTTTATTTTTTACTTTTATGGGCATGGATGGCATAATAAAAACTAAGTTACTTAGTACACCAGAGAATTCATCTTGCCATAGTTTTAACCAGGGCAGAGAATTATAATTATTTATTGAACTCAAACATTTTCTATACTTCAATCTCTAACTAATAGCACAGAGCTCCGAGTGACCCTAAAGAGGCTACTGCTGCAAAAGATAATGTAGAAGAGAATAATATGTAAGGCAACACTCACCCAATATCCATTCTCTTCTTCCTTAGCAAGGCAATCCCATTGTTGTGGGAATGCCAATATACCCACTTAAAAGAGCTCATTTCCTAACTTCCTTGGCAGCTGGAGTGGCCATGTGACTAAGATTGGCCATTGAAACTTAAGTCAAAGTGCAATGTGGGACTTCTGGGGAGACCATGGAGAGGGTGCTGGTTTAGCTTTTTAGCCCTTTCACCTCTGCTCTTCAGAATGAAGATAGAATGGTTATAGCATGAGATGACACTGAGAACGGAGGCCAGCAGAGTGGAACACATGGCTGGGAGGCACTTCCCTGAATCTGTGGAGCAGTCCCTGGTCCTACCTGCCTGTCTCTGAGTTTCTTTGACATAGAAAATCAGCCTCTGTGTACTGGAACCTTTATGAATGGTTCTCTGATACTAAAGCCAAACACAGCTCCTAATATGATGTGCCTCCTGAAGCCCAATTTGTAATCACCTGTTATTAGGTAGATGAACTTAATAAAGTGGAGTGAGAAAGAGAAACAGGCAGGGTATTTCAAATACACTGCTGCAAACAAACAAACAACTTTTAATAAGAAATTATGGGAAAAATATCCTGCAGAAGATGGTATTTGGCGAAAGTGGGCTGGGGTAGTCTTCCTAGTAGAACTGTGCTTGGAAGCTTTTCTTTTTGCTCCTGAAACCACAAAGGCCTATAAATAATACCCCCACAGTCACAGCTTTCAAAGTTGCAGTTATTCTTAGGTGAGTTCCAACATAATATGGATTGGACAACTGTCAATGAAAGAGAGAGAGAGAGAGAGAGAGAGAGAGAGAGAGAGAGAGAGGCCAGTTGCAACATCATAGAATACAGCAAATCTAATCTTTCTACCCAAAGGTTCGAAAGACTCGTTGTAGTTTAATGATGCTAAGATATTGTGATGCTTCATGAGACCAGTTGGAACTTATGAGACACCAGAAACTCAGGAAAAGAAAGAAAACAAGTCAATGATGAGAGTGAAATTGGTATAGTATGCCCAGGACAGAGCTCTTGGGACACTTGGGTACCCTGTATCTGGCCATCTGTAGCTAACGCTACACACCAATGAGTATATGCAAAGATATATAGCCCATGCTGGTAACAGAATTTACCCGAGGATCTGTTGAACCACTTGGTTCAGGCAGTAAAGGTGATAACAGAAGAGGTGGTAGCAGTAGTCCCGATATCTATTGTGACAGTCCTGAATAAGGATGTCTTACTGTTAAAAGGTGGTAGAGGAGAGAAGAAGGGAAGGGAGGGAGGGGGGGGAACCTTTCTAATTTCATGAAAATCTCTGGCCATAGTGATGATCAAGTCAATGTCAGAATCTCCAAAAAAGCGATCAATTGACATTGAGGACTACAGAAGCAGCAGCCATAAATCAAGCTGGGCAAATGATAAGTAGAGAGTGGTCCACATGAGTATACCCAGCAAACATCTGTTTTAGGGAACATATGATCTAGTCAAGAGTGGTTGCAGAAAGGCTGGGTGTGGAGTTGCATAATTGGAAATATATGAATTTGCAAGATCACTGCCATGGTGCTCAGGCAGCAATTAAAACTTCAGCAAGTCTGTTTAACCACCAGGTAAAATACTCATGAATTTCCCTAGACAGAGTCAGTTCTTCTTCTGTGCTCTGTTACTCTAGCACATTCTATTCCACATACTAGTAACACTGCCATGGTTTGAAGCAATCCCAGTGCCCATCACTAGAGGAGTGGATAAAAAAGCTGTGGTACATATATACAATGAAATATTATTTGGCCATAAAAAAGAATGAAATCTTACCATTTGTGACAGCATGGATGGACCTAGAGGGTATTATGCTAAGTGAAATAAGTCAGCCAGAGAAAGACAAATGCCATATGATTTCACTTATATGTGGAATCTAAAGAGCAATATAATCAAACAGACTCATAGGTACAGAGAATAGATTGATGACTGCCAGAGTGGTGAGGAGTTGGGGGACTGGATGAAAAAGCTAAAGGGAATGACAAGTACAGATTGGTAGTTATAAAACAGTCACAGGGATGTAAAGTACAGCCTAGGGAATATAGTCAATGTTAGTAATATTGTAATAACTATGTGTGGTGCCAGTTCAGTACTGGAAATATCAGGTGGACCACTTTGTAAAGGACATGATTGTCTAACCACTGTGCTATACACCTGAAACTAATACAAAATAATATTAAATGTAAACTATAGTTGAAAATAATTTTAAAAATTAAAAAAAATATTATCATGGTTTGAATGCCTATTGATTTCTCCCATTCAACTGGGAATTTTCCTATAAAGCTAGGAAGCACTTGCACTGGCATATAGTGGCTTAAATAAAGAATAAGTGAACCAATGAAAGACAAGAACATGGGTTGGAATAGACAGACCTTGCTTTGAATTCTGTAACAGCTTTTTATTAGCTGGTCTTGGACAAGTTTCTTATTTTCTCTGAATAATACTTAAAAAGCCAGTTTTATAGTTTGAACAAGATAGTATATAATGCACCTAGAACAATGACTAGTAAAAAGTAAGTATTTCATAAGTGTTTCCCTTTCCCCCTCTTCACCTTCTTTGAGAGCCATGCTGGTCGGGTTTACTTTTCATTTCCAGCATTAATCACACCATCTGGTTGCAGTGAGCATTCAAATGTAGTTGAACTGAGATGGTGCCAGTGGTGGCAATGCTCTTGCTGTGGTAGCCTGACATTTCACAACACTGACTACTCTGTGAAAGGCTGAGAGACTGACAATCAGACTGGTGAGTAGTTCAGTTACATAGAAGAATCCTTGTAAAAGTCTACGGTGGTTCCCATATCTGCTTATAAGAAACATTCTACATGAAGTGTATTTTATAGAATTTTTTTCTCTTTCTCAACTTTCACCCACACTTGAAGAATTGGACAATTGAATTGTGCTATACACATTGTGTGGCTAAGTTGTACATACATGGAGGGGGAATTGGATGATGGCTTAGAGAGGGCTGAAATATTATCAAGGAGGAGCAATTTATTTTCTTAGAATAGAATCTTTGAAAAGGTTATAGGAAAGCAGTGGTTTCCCATTCAAATCAGTACCACACCCACTTGTCCATAGCTTGTAAAATCAAGAAATAACGCAAACACTTCTAAGTGGAAGAACATCTAAAAATACAATTGGAAACGTTGAAACCGAAATGACACCTTTTCAGATCTAGTTTATTGACGTGTCATATTAGGAATTGGAATTGCATACATAATACAGGAGTAGTTAATGAGCTAAGATTCATACACAGCTTACTAAAGATGTGTCAACTGTCTTCAATTGATTCAGTGAGCATGTGAAAGACAGCACTTTCTATTAATATTTCTCCTTCAGCATATGGTTTCTCATTATTGTGAAGTATTGAGAGTTTTGAGAAGACTGAGATATCCCTTATGGAAGTGGAAAACAAGGAACTTTTTTCTACATGGAGAAATAGAGTTAAGTTGTATACAAAAAGGCTTATATAAAAGTCTTTTCAGTAATAATAAACTCTATAATTCTTTGCCCCTTCACTCACATG